ATATGCTAGCCCCCCCACCCATGTCTTCATATGCAGGTACAACTTCCACATACTCAGGTCCACTATCAAATTCAGTCCCCATCAAGCGCATAGAGTAGATTGATCTTCTCCATGACAATCTGTCTGTCAAGTCTTCTAATGGTGCCCCCATCACCACTATAACTGAGTTCATCCACCTTGCTGCTGGTCATCCTCTTCTTCTCTTTCCTTCCACATTTCCCAGCACCAGAGCTTTCTCCAGAGAGCGACGTCTTTGCAGCGGACCTGTCCTCCCACACTTCTATGGTCGCCCAAAAATACAGAAACCCAACATACCTCTTTGCCTAATTGTATCGTTACTGGAGAGCCCAACATACAACATAGTGAACAAACTTACAAAAAAGGTTGGACATCTCACAGAGGGGAGCGAATATTCTATCAACACCCCACTACGGTGCCTCCATAAAATCAAAGAACTAAAAACAGAAGGAGATGAAATGATGGTTTCATTCAATGTCACAGCACTCTTTACATCCATAGATCCAGAGCCAGCAAAAGAACCACAGCAGCAGTACTACACAACACACCTGCCCTAGCCAAATACACCCAGATCGAAATACCCAGAATCATGGACCTCATCAGCCTCTGCTTCGCTACCTACTTTCAGTTTGATGGACAAATATACCAAGAAATCAGAAGAACACCCACGGGATCACCACTCTCAGGACTCATAGCAGAGACCATAATGCAGCATCTAGAAACTATAACACTCCCACAGATACAACCAAAAGTATGGATCCGGTACGCAAGCAACACCATCGTAATAAAAAGGAACAACTAGAGAAGACACATGAAGCCATCAACAACATCTTCAAAGGAATAAAATCCACAAGGAAGAAGAAAACAGCAACAGGGTACTCTTCCTGGATATCCTCATCAGCAGAGGGAACAATGGCAAATTAGAAACACAAATTTATCGAAAAACAACCCACACTAACCAAGTGCTCTATTACCAAACCCAACCTCCCACAAGAGGAGCTGTGTAAGAACATTATTCAGATGAGTACAAACATACTGCAGCAATCCAGAACATCAGAAAAAGGAAACGGATCACCTATGCAAGCTACTGTATATAAACAGGGAGCAAACCCTACCCTCCCTCGCACTGATATTACCTCGTTGGGTAATGAAACGTCTGCAAGCAAACCACCCAGCTCAGAGAGCACCAAGGACTCCAAAGAAGAATTTGAAATATCCCCCTTTCCTCTTTACATTATTATCACAAGTGTCAGGATACATATGAGAAAAAAGGTCTCTTAGTTGAATTAGGCAGGGTGCGTGCTAAAGGGACAACTCGTAAGTCATCTTGGTTGTTTCAGCCATAGCTGAGGGTCACCATTTCTTAGAAGAACTGATGTCTGTTTGTAACTAGCACTCTTACACACCTCTCAAGAGCCCCCAGAAACCATCTTCCCCTGGTTATCTCTGCATTAGACCTTGCTAATGACCCATATCAGTCAAACTCAAAAAAAGACTGAAACAACTCCTGCACGGAAACACACCCTAGCACAGTGTTTCTCAATCTTACCAACTTTAAGATGTCTGGACTTGAACTCCCAGAATTCCCCAGCCAGCCCACTTCTCCCCTGCCAGGCTGCACAGGTGTGCTCACTTGAGTAAGACCTATATCGATGTAAACAAAGATTTCTGAAAATGAAGTTTTAAGATTTCTGGGTTGGCATTTGGTATCAAAGTCTTCTTATCTCAATATGTTACTGTTTGGGTCCAGCCAATTGACCCTAATTACCAGGTTCGGGACTTGGTGCAAGGTGAACTTTTTATCCACCTTATTTTAGAGCTCTAAATAAACCCCAGCTAATGGAGAGAGTCCTGATTACAGATTTTACATAGCTTATATACTTTTTCTTCGCAGGATCCACATGACA